CTGAAGAACTCTACTGAGACTGCAAGATGTTTCTCATGTGTAAACAAAGTTGGTCTAGCAGACTCCAGAATCCAAAATGCCATAGCTGCCAGGTATGATTTTGACCAACTGTTTGTTAAAGGATTACTCAGCATGAGATTTTTTTTTTTTTCCCGGCAAATTTCTAATCATTCTTACATGTTTATTTGCTGGGCCACATTTACTGTTTTTAGTGGATGATATTTTTTGACTTTTCATCCTCCACACTTTCCTCTTAAGGGAAAAAGAAAATACTTAAAATTAAAAGTGACAGCCTCTAGCTGGAAAATTCATGGAACTGTAGTCGTCTATTTAGTCTTCAATACAACAGCAGTTCTGGCAAGCATATGAAAAAGAAAATTAAATACTTGTTGGTCATAGGAATCTCCTTTGGGGTACCCATGAAGATGAGAAGTGGAGATACTCAAAAGGATACAATTAACTGTAAAGAAAGCATAACTTTTCCTTCAACAAGAGCCTTGGTAGACAGTGCACTACTCCACACTTCAAAAGTGTTGCTATTTCTGTTAACTTTTAAGTGTATTGATTTCTGACAGCAGGAACAACAATGTGCTAAGCAGCAGCTTTTCTAAAGGCCATGCAAAATCCCACCTTTGTTTTAATACCGGATACTAATTAAATATCATTTCAGTCAAGCAAGATTAAGCAACTGTATATTACTAGCTAGAACAAGATAACTGACGCTTCTTTAGGACACAAGCTTGTTTCACAACTTGAAAAGTTTCAAAGTCCCATTCATCTGTTATTCAGATGGATATGGATATTTTTCAGTCCTTATGTTCTTCCTCCTCTTCCCAATTTGCCCACATTGACCAATCACAGGATAAAAGCCCTCAGGGCTGCCCTGTAGCTGAGAATCCTCAAAATGTCTAAATCTCCTGCTGTATTTAGGATTATACTGGATGACTTTATGTAATGGAGACTATCCCCAGTGCAGGATCTGATCTGCAAGTCTCACACTGAGATTTTGATAACTTGAGAGGTCCAAACACAGATGCTCACGGACCTGGCTGAAAAGGAAAAGCTGTTGCTGCTGCTGGAGGTTGCAGACTTCTTAGAAGCTCTTCCTGGACATTCAGTTCTGCTTTAGCCCTTGCTTGGGTTACACTTTAAAGGTTTCACCTTGAAGCAAGCAAAATTTGCTTTGCTTGCACCCCACCAGGAGCAGCAGCACCTTTAGTGACTGATCACATGTGAAGAGGAGACATTGCTGCAGTCACTGCTTGGCCTTGTTCTAGTCACCAGATGAGATGCTGAGCCAGCAGCTGAAGGCCACCACCTCCCTCTGCTCCAGTGAAAATGCTGACTGCACACAAACCTCATGTGGGGCTTGGGAGTGCTCAGTCTGACCCAGACCTCCTTTAGCTTTTGAACATACGTGAAAGGCTTCTTTGCCAGCCTGCCTCGGCAACAACGGACTTTTCTGCCACAGTGCTGCACATCCTGAATCATCCCTCAATTCTGCTCACACGTATCTGATTAGCTGGGACTATTACACATACCCCTCAGCTGCACTCAGACTAAAAGTGAATTGAAATCACAGAACAAAGTAGCACCTCCTTCCTGCAGACTAGTGGCACTTCTAAGCACCTATATAAATTCGTGTTGTTCCTTAATGCCACTATTCTTCACATACAAGCTTGTTCATCCCCCAGTTTAATGCCTCAAGTATAATTGTCATCAAGAAGGAAAAAGAAAAAAGATATTTTAGGATTATACAAAACTACAGAGTACCTTCTGTGTTTCATTTCCCTAGTTTATCAGAAAAGCAAAGATCTAAAACCTGCCTGCATTAGGAATCACTATATCGTAGTGCTGCAAGAATGAAAGCTGTGATCTGTTTGCTGTATAATGAAGAAATGTTACATTTCCAGAATCCTTATTGCTTGCAGTGGTGAGTGAAGCATAAAGATAGCAGCTGGGTATTCAGATGTTGCACCAGGTTGGCAGTTATTAAAATTATATTTTGATTTATAAGCCAAGAGCATTCTATGTGAAAATCATTAGAAAACTAAACATGGCATAATGTTAATGAAACTTGGAATTTTCTCATATCTTATTATGTAATTGAAAGGAGCGTCTCAGATTCTTTGCAAGTGAATGAGACTCAAACTTGCATTTAAAAGAAATAATCTTCTTGCTTAAAACTGTAATCTAAACTCATCCTAAAAGTTTAGAAATGAAGAAAAAATCATTAAGATACTTGATAAAACCTCAATTTTCCATGTCCAGTTGTACTGGTACTAAAAGATTGCAATGGGTCACATCACTTTCACCATTGATGCAGAATTTTATTTTTCCAGAGAGAGAAAACACTGGAGAACTGAATTTAAGTGAGTTTAATAGAAGTGGGCTTAACAAGCTCAGATATATACATACATTAGATGCCTTTTTCTTTTTATAATTGAAGCCTTAGGTTTGCTTTTCTTCTTCCAAACATTTACTTTAAATTCAATTACAACTGCTGATACTAGAAGGCAGATTTATACGGTGTTAGATAATGATGACACTGGCTTTGGTTTGCAAAGCTAACTGAATACTAAGTATATATACAGAATACAAAAATAGTTGGATGAAACACAGCACTACTATTCCTGTGCTTAACATACCCATTCTCTCTGCTTTGAAAGGTTCATGCTCTGTTCCACTTCAAACGCTGTACAACGAGCAAGATTCACGATCATTTGCCTCTGTGAATTTATTATTAGTCTCTTCTCACACAAACAGTGTGTTTAAAACACATGGGGAAGTCCAAAGAATACAATTAATATTTTGTTTAGGAGCACAGGTCTATTTTTCATTGCTAGTCATCACTACTAGTGGGAGGTAAAATTTTAATGAAGACAACACAGATATATATGTTCTGCATGCACATTATCTATGTAAGGTCAAACCCTTGGGCTTCTTGGAACTCAGCTATATCTGTAAATGTTCATACCCTTTCCACAAGGAGATTTATTGAATTTTTTCTGTGTGATGGCTAACATCAATTACAAACAGGCACCGTAACAGTAAGGCCTATATGATTATGTGTTGTTCTTAATTGAGGCAAAGTTTGCAAGCAGAAGCTGTATCTTTTGTTAGAAAAATACATTTCGAAAAACAAACAAACAAACCCCCCCCCTCATTAAGCTGTTAAATACACAAGACCTTCCTCAGGTCAACTATCAGTTGGTTTAATGAAAGATGTAACTAAAAATAAATCTTGTTATGCTTATATCCTTGGAGCAAACAAGTTCCTCCTAAAACATGTATTTTATAAAATCCCATTGCTCAGTATTATTAGACCCTGTCTCTGCTGACGCCAAGGTTCATGATAGCCTTACTGGGCCATGGTAGCCGTGTTTCCCAGGGTATACCCTCTGGTCAGTGTAACACAGAGGAGTCTCAGACATACCAACAAAATGAGTTGGTTTTGGGACTTTTTTTTAAACCACAAATGATTTTTGGAACTTCAGTAGCTTCCTGGTTTGCAGTTTTGCAGGAGACAAATAGCTTTCTTGCTAAGCAGTATCATTTGCAAGCAGTCTGTGGTGTTCGTGGATAGCCTCCTAATATGGTCTTGGCAGGCTGGCAAAGGCCATAAGCTTTGAACAGAGTGTGCAAAGCCATAGTGGCTCACCAGGCTTGCTCTGGTTCAACCTTTCCTGATCTGCCTGAACCTTTGTTTTACTAGATTTAGCTACAACAGCAATACTTTTATACAGAAAACAGTAACACAAGCAATTATTCTTTGTTGAATGAGATAATTATGACTCTTAACACAACGATGTAGCACAAAGCAATACAGGGATGGTATTATAATAGAGGCCTAGAGGGGTGGAGACACTGGAGGTGATGTAGAGGAGCACAGGCATGAGGTGATAACGCAAGGGGCACAGGTTGGCACTGGAGACCCCACAGCTACAAACAGCTCACCAACAGTCAGTTAAAGAAGTGCAGACCTGAACCTAGAGAAAACTGGTTCTAAGGGTAATGAAGTGAGCAGAGACACAGTATCTAGCATATATATGTAAAAGCCATCATGTGTAGTAAATTTGGGTGTAACATGAAGATGCAGATTAGTGAAGAAAGAGCAAAGTGTATAAGCATGTTCGTAAACATACAAAAGGACCCAAACTGGATTCTAATTTAAGAAAGAAGAAATCGTGAACATGATGGGATGGAACATTGGAACAGTGTGTCTAGGGTTGAGTTACCATCTCTGGAGGTATTTAAAAGATGTGTAGATATGGTGCATAGGGATATGATTTACTGGTGACCTGGCAGTGCTGGGTTAACATTTGGACTCAATGATCTTAAAGGTCTTTTCCAACATCAATGATTCTATGATCATCATAACACCCTCTCTGACTCTACCAGAATGAAATCATCAACCTTAAGACTCAGGCTTGTTAGGAGAAGTTGTGAGGATAACACCAGGAAAAGGGGTAGAAACAATTTGAACACTATTAGTATTCTTTCTTTTTATGTAATATTTTTTTTATGTAATAATTGCATCTGGACTAATAATTACTAATCTCTCAAGATTTCAGAAATACTAACAATATATTATTGGATTTATATTTTATATACACACACAGACACTTAGAGCAAGGGGGAATGGGAGAGCATATTCTTCTAATGAAAAGCTTGCAAGAAAGATAATCAGAAATGCATTCACAGCTACAACACTTGGGCTTGTCTCTCCTGGACATTAAGGAGTCTGCTAGCACCGAAGGACATGAAGCGCATGTTGGAAACTGACTTTTATCATTCAGTAGGTGGACAGACATGTCCAGTGTACGAAACAGCTCTGGAAAAGAGATTGGACACATCCATTCATCACTCCCATGAGACAAAGGGAATGGGTGTAGCAGACAATCAAATTAATTAACTGCTGAATCTAATTTACCCAATTTCTTGTTAATTCTCCTATGGATTGATTATTAAGCCTGACAAATTCCATCCCCAAAGCACTCTGCTTGAAAAAATAATAATTAGCAACAGGAAGAGAGGGAGTGAAAGCTGGGACTCCACAACAGATGTGGAAACCATTGCTCTATTTTCAGAAATGCAGCAAATGAAGCAGTTTTGTAATTGCCTCACTGGTTTTAAGTGTAATATTTCAGAGGATGCAATACTAGGGAATTAAAAACACTTAGTAGAATAAAAATCAATAGAGTTATGCAGGAGTGCTGTTAACGTTTCATTTTTTTTTTGCTGAAAACTAGACACAGTGACCACTCCTTTCAATCTGTTCACTGCTGGGCTGAGCAGCCAGTTAATCACCAAAATCAAAGGAGCCTTAAAGGCCACACTCTCAGCAAAAAATGCTTGTCCCATTTCAGGGCTATTCAATCCTGTCTAACTTGTCCCGCTGCCTTTGTGCTGGGTGATGCTCCTCAGCATTTCAGCCCAGGGTTAGCCCAGTATTTACAGCATGGCCCTGTCTTTCATCAGAGAAGCCACCTGAAGGCAACTTCAGGCTCCACTCAGAGCTCAAAGACCTGCAGTTTGTTTGTTTAAGCTTTACAAGCTCTGTGTACACATTTCACTAGGATCTAGGTCAGAAAACGGTGCTGGAAGAAGAAACCACAAGTGAGGGGCCAAAACAACTTCAAAATTATTTGTCAATCACAACCCACTTCCTGTGACTTGAGGGTTTGATTGTTGATGTGCTTTCTGGTAGTGACTCTGGGCCTGTTTCAAGAGCACATAAAATTTGCAGATAGATAGTTCACAACGGCAATTTTAATATATTTTTAGGGACTGGCCTCCTTTCCATTCACATGGTAACCACTGTTCGTGGGATTGCTGCCCAGCTCTTAAGCTAAAACCCTCTATGACTGCCAGGAGAGTGTTTTCATTAGACAGCCCATGTCTCTATCCTTGTCTTCTGCTGAACTTCTGACAGAAACAGAACCATTTAGCAGCTCCTGGTGCTCACTGCAAGACTTTTTCATCAACTGAACTTTAACTGATGGCAGTCCCACCACAGCAGATGCAGGGTACATTTACTGTGCAGCTGCATTTATTGTGAAGCACTTACTTGCTGTGATACTGGGTTCTGCTAATTAGTCCTTAAACAAATAATCTATCTGACTCTGGACAGGATTCTAGAGCTGTCAGAAAAAGCCAAAGAAAACCATTAATTATAAAAGAACTGAGTTCTCCCTTTACGGATTTTCAGAGCAGAGCAAGAGGATCAGAGGTCAGACTTTGCCAGGCACAAGTCACAGGGAATCTGCTGGGACTAGCTGTACAGTACACTGGCATACAAAACCAAAATGGTTTAAGCTTTCATTTAAAGAAGAAGACAGACAATAAATCTATTATTGTTGAGATAACAAAGAGATCATTGAGATAATCTGTTTGGATCTTTTCTGTAACATATTATTGAGTTTAAATAACTGGCAACAGGCGAGACTGGTTTATCCATTTGTGCACTGTGGTCAATATAGAGAGAGTCCTCTCACTTTAGTCCTATATATATGTCAAACTGAGCTGTCAATAAGCTCAGTAGTGTAGGACAGTCCTTTAAAGCATGTCTTGGACATCACACCTAAGTGAATGTTCTCAGCTAGGGTTCAAAGAAAGTATCAGTAATTACATCTGAACTACAGTGCTCCTCTCACAAGATCTGGGTATCCACTGGATAAACCTGTGAGACGGAGATTTTTCCTTTGGCAAACTATGTCAATGCTTAATTAGCTTTGCCTATAAAAAACTGTACTTATTACCACTTAAGAGTATTTATAGAAGAAGAAGAACTTGAGAATTGTCTATGGAAAAAAAGATGACTTCTCTTCCATTGCATCCCAGTTTGTCTGCTTTATCGTTTTTAACCCCACTCAAACCAACCAGTCACACAGCTAATAACCAAAGAGATTTGAGAAAAAGTCTAAAATATTACACCTTCATCTGTGCATTCAGCAGCCTACAAAAGTCATGACATAGGTCATTGCCTCATGACCACATTCATAAGCCATAAGGACTGCAATCCTGAGCTGAACTACAAGCCACCCCATGACACACTCTGAACGTGGATCTTCAAGCAAATATTAATGATGGAAAATCCATTACATTATGGATTAACTTCAATTAACTAGAACACTGAAAGAAAAATTCAGATATTTCAGTTTTTATTAGAAAGACCTGACTCGCTGATTTTCAGCCTTGACTTCCATCTCCTGGATTCTCTTAACTAGAGAAAAGAAAGATTATGCTACATAGATATAGAACCCCTTTCTGCTTGTATTTTTTATATCAGTTGCCACCTCTTCTTTGATTTTAATTCCCTAAATGCTTGTTGAAATAATAGTAAAAGGCTGATTGTAAAACCAAGGTAAAGTAATTTAATCGAGTTCTCTCTTGAACTGACAGAAAACTCAAAACACCACATTTCTTTTAACAAGTCTGTACAGTCACTGGGATCCCAGACCCACCTCATTTGAAGCCAGTGGCAATGCCCTCATTGACTTCACTGGGTCCAGCTCAGGACTGCTGTGGTTGCAAACCAGAGGTCCAGGTCTCTGTGGCTCTATCTAGACTCAGCTCAAGGCAGCCCACAGCACAAGCACAGTAGATTTTGCCTCACATGGATACAAGGAGCCACAGACCTGCTG